ACACACACACACACACACACACACACACACACACACACACACACACAGACACACACACACACAGACACACACACACACACACACACACACACACACACTCTAAAACAATGCCAATTCAACTAGGCTTTGAAAGGAGATAAATTAAGAGATTATGAACAGGATGAACTCAGAACTCTTCATGCTGGAGTTATCATCCTAACAAGTGACACTCTGCAGTCAGTATTATAACCAGTGACTCTGTAATCAGCACAGGATTCAGAGGCCTACTCGTTCACACACTCAGGAATCCCATAGAAAAATTAAGCTAAAAGCCATAGTATGTACACAGAGGATCTGGTACAGACTCTTGCAGGCTGGAGGCATACTAACTCAACCTCTGTGAGTTCATGAGTTTTGCTTATGTTGATTTAGATGGCCTTGTTTTTTTGGTGTCCTCCATCCCCTTTGGCTCTTACATTCTTTCCCTTTCCTCTTCTGTGGATTCCTTAAGCTCTGAAGGGAGGGATTTGGTGGAGACTTCCAATTTAGGGATGGGTGTTCAAAAATCTCTCACTCTCTGCATAATGTCTGGCTATTTATTCTCATCTGCTGCTGGAGGAAGATTCTCTGATGATGGCTGAACAAGGCTCTGATCTATGTTACAACAGAATATCATTTGGAATAATTTTCTCACTACATTTCTCTCTCTCTTTTTAAACCAGTAGTATTTGGTTTTATTCTAGGCCCCTGGACCATCCAGTTTCAGGTTTTTGATCACCCAAGTAGTGATATGTGTAGATTCTATATCGCAGAGTGGGCCTTAAGTCAGATCAGTTATTGGTTGGGGACTGCACAAGCCACCATTGCCCTAACATATCTTGCAGCCAGGACACCACTGTACATAGAGGGTTTGTGGCTGGCTTGCAGTTTACTTTTCTCTTTTGAGAGAGCGTTGCTGGGTATTGAGGCTACTCATGCCGTAACTTAAATTCACTTTAGAGAAAGAGAACTTAGAGAGCAGAAATTACCAAAACACACACACACACACACACACACACACACACACACACACACACACA